AGAAGCCAACATCAGCTCTTTGCCTCTTAATTCCCCGTCTCGTCCTGCACTCACCAAGAAAGCCCTGTTCTGCCTAACCAATGTACACTCAAGGATACACATAGTAACAATAAGTATTATCTGATAAATTGATCCGCTTGTTCAACAGCAGTTAGAGATGTCTGCTGTGTTTTTGTAGGGGACAGATTTATCCAGCCTCACCGGTGGTGATCTGCCCAAGCTAGGGCCCCTCGTATGTGAGCTGCAGCCTTCCCAGCTGCGTCTAATGAACCCTGATGTCCTCAACTCCGCTTTCCAGGAGATGGCTTCCTGCAAACATATTCCTCAACAATACAGGGCAGATATCATTGAGATGGTTCACCAGACCTTTGGGTAGGACACCCTCCTAATGAGCATTAAAGTTAACACAAAGAAAGACCATAGACTGTTTATAAAAGATGCACAAGGCTTCCAGAAAAGATATGGTTCTTACTGAATATAACATGAAGTTATATATATATATGCTTTCTTTTTGAGTGAATAAGGGGAACAAAGCCAGTGTGCTTTGTGTGCGTGACATCCAGCTTACATACATGCATACATACATGTTTTGTATAGAGCCAAACAAAAAAGCTAAAGTAGTAGTCTTGTGTACTTTTTTAAAACATCTGTAGAAATTCTTCTGATTGGACCGAGGACACTGTGGAATCAGTCGGTCCCCTTCTTCTTTGTGATAAGGTTGCCACGTCTGCTCTACCCAACAAAGTGCGTATCTGCCTTGTCCATTACATGCAGCTCATCTTGTGTTTGTTTTTGTCATGTTCATTATTAAGTCACTCAGAACTCAGAAGTGACTCTCCTGCTTGTGATTAAAAATGGATATATATTTTCAGTTTTTCTTGATGTTGTCCCTCTCTGTATCTCCATTAGCCTTGGATGAAGGATGTTCTTCGCTACATAAAGTCACTGTCCTCTGATCCTTCAGATGCCCTGAAAAAGAAAATCTTTGCTCTTACCACCACTAGATCAAATGCAACACGTAAAAAGAGGGGTGAGAAGGAGGCATACTTTATCTGTTTTGCAACAATTCAGTTTTATATTTCTGTTTTTTGTAGTTCTTGTGTCTCTAACAGCAAGAGCAACACTGATCATGGTAATAGCAGCGTAACTTTTTATTTGAATCTCTGCCACAGTTTAGTTTTTAGTTTGAATTAAAATACATTTTATTTAAAGTGGTTTTTAAAAAGCCTTATGATTATATTGTCTATACCTGTAGAGATCCTGAGAGAACCCACTGAGAATTTGATTCAAGAACTGGGAATGGATAATGTGTACTGGTCAGCAGGAGAGCTGGATAAGATGTCAAACAGCACTTTCCTGGCCACTGTAGAAATACTTGGAGAAATCCCGAACTACAGTGCAGATCAACTGGCTGTGCTCAGCAGAAAAGCTACTGAGGTACAGTGAGACACAGTCATCTTGGTTTCGTTCATTCACCAGTCTGTTTTTTCTTTCCAGCATTTCTAGTTTGAACAGTTGGCTTTGATTCGGGCACTCACAGTGAGATTGCCACAGTAATAAAAAGTTATTGTAAATCAAGGTGGAACATAAAAGTTTTTTTCCACTTTCCCACAATTAATAATAATTAATACAGCTTCACTAATAAAAGGTAAGGTGTACATTTTGAATATCAATATTTTAATATTATTGAACCAAGATCCAATTGAGCAGTTATTATCCCTGTTTGTCTTAACTGATAAACTGACCTAGGTATAATTTGCTCCGCAGCTTAATGGAAGTTAGAGAGGAATAACGTCTGTGTAAATATCCAAACAAATAAAACGCTGCACTCTTCTGGTGTCAAAATTAAAACGCAATCTGTAACTTCTTAAGGTTGCATCTGCTGGTCTGTGTGTAGAAATCCTATATTTAGTTATTTTGTGTTAGTGTGAATATTTCTGTATATTTCTTTAGGCTTTTGGCCCCGTGTCACAGATGAACGAGGGCGCGGTCATACAGCTTGAATGTATAAATCAGGGTTTTTCTAATTCTGACCTGGAGAATCTCACCTTGCCAATGGATATTGTAGAGGGAATTTCCCGCTGTGGGTGGACTCAATCACAGGTGAAGCATAGAAACAGCATTGCATGCTCACCGCTATATCGATTACACACATGACATGACTCATGTGCCAATAGATGGAGTCGTTGTGGAGGGGAATTGCCAAATATAACAATCTGAAAGCGCAGCAGCTGGGAGCTGCAGAAATGGTATCACTGAACCGGCTCATCTGTGGCCTGAGCTCCAGCGAGATCAAACAGCTCAACATCAGCGCCTTCAAGTTTGTCCACGGCACATCTCACTTTTCATTTTATTTAAGTCACCCATTTTTCCAGGCTCTTATTTTCACAGATTATTTTTTGTTAATCTAATGATCCATGACTGCCCACAGCCCATCTCCTCCCACCTCTGTAACAGTAGTGAAAGTACTTATTGTACTTTTGAGAAGTGAAAATTCAAGTGATATCCTGTCATATGCAGATAAAAGAAATCTTAACCTCTGCCACTCATTCAAGACTTTTTAAAAGTTTCTTTTAAAAATTTTTTAGCTGTAATGTCTTCTTATTTCTAAAGCAGTGATCATAAATAGTTCATAAATACTTTCTTTCTGGTCAGGTGCATAAATAAACCTTTTTTTTTGAGAGTAGATTCGTTCACAGGTAGTGATGCTAAGATTATTTTAACTTTAAAGAGCTGCACAATGATACAGAGTCACAATTGCACGATGTGTGAAAGCTTGTGTTTGTCACAGGAGGGCTGTGGGCTCGATGGATGGTATTAAGTGCTCCTTTCAGATTTTACAGCAATTAAAAACTCTAGCTGTGGCTGCGTTTGGGAAACCCAGCACCTGGACAGAACCACAGGTTGCAGACTTGGGCAACATACTTGGTAAGATAATATCTGCAAACAAAAAAAAACCCCATTGGAATATTTCATAGAAATACCTGTAAAGTGTCACCTGGGAGAGAAATTAGCTTTCACTTTTGGTAATGTTTTCATCTGTGTCCCTAAGCTGGGCTGGATGCATCGGAGCTGGCTTCTTTGGACCCATCTGTCTTTCCATTTGTCAGCAGGACGTGTATCCCACTCATCCCTCCAAACAATTTTGCTGTAAGCTGCTTTTTATTTCCTACTATTGTTTTTAAGCTAGAAGCCAAACCTAGAGACCAGATTTAACAAATACATTCACTCGAGTGTTGGGCCGTGCCGAAATAGGCCTACATACAAAAACCCTTAATTGATATTTTTACCAATATTTTATAAGAGAAAATTTGAGCTCAGGTGGACTGAGCTCAAATGTATACTATGTTTTACTTTTATTAGGCTCACTCCATTTCAAAGCAGATCATAAAAACGTAATTAGTTACAATAAGGCAGATAAAGGTTTTCACAGGGTACAGTGAAAGACAACAAATGTTGTCATTATGAAGAGGATAAATGCATCACTAATAATATTGAAATTAAAGTTCGCTTGTTCTACGTGTGTGAATATATGTCAGTACAAATTTTGAATGCAGGACTTTTATTTTATTAAATGTTGTATGCCTGTTTTCCCTGCAGGTACTCTCTGCTGCTCAGCTGGAGGCCCTTGGGCCTGACAATGCAGCAATGGTGACCACTGAACAGCGAAATCTGTTGAATAATGATCAACTTGACACAGTTGAAACGGCTCTAACTGGTTTTCGTAACCAGGCACAAGGAGCTGTTCAATCAGGTAAAAACACAAATTTGCACAGCATTTAATTCCCACATTCTTCATCATCTAAATATTTTGAAGTATTTGGAACAAGTTAAATTTCATCCTGCCATTAAACGCTGCCATGTAGGCCTGGCTTATTCTGAAAAACCTAATTTCAGTGTTTTCAACATAAATATGACTTAAATTGTTTATTAACAATAACAATTATTATGATATATTTATATATCAATATGTAAATATTAGACTTTAGTTTTAATGACCTTTGAATATTATCACTGAGAAATCTTTATATTTCACTGCTATGTCCAGGAGCTCCATCGCTGGGTGCAGAGGGGCTCTCAGCCTTCATGAAGCCCCTTCTCTTGCTTCTCATTGGGTTTCTCCTGCTGTGAGTCATCACATCCATCTGCTTAAGCTAATTACAGACCTATAATAATAATAATAATAATAATAAAAATAAACAACAGTTCAGCAATTCTTCAGGTTTATTTAGTGTTGAAGACGTTTGCACAGATTGATGTTTTATGATAATCTATACATGTTTGTGACTGTAGCTCACACGATTAGATGACCTTCTGAGATGTGTTAGAGTTCCTTTACTCTGTTATGTGTTAATAAGAAAATATATTTTATTAATTGCAGAGAAATATTTCATGTTTAATTTTCAGATGTTCTCGGTATGAGTCTGTTTTTTGAAAAGTTGATATTTACTGACAAAAACCGAAGAATGATTCAACTTAATAAACGTTATTGTTACGCCAGCAGCCAACAGTGAAGTTTGTTGAAAGAAATAACCAAGTTACAAGTGACTTTTTTCCCCTCTTTCTCTGAAATGATTGGTTTGAAATTGTTTTATCAATGCTAAACACGCACAGGGGAGAGCTAACTTTGACAGTTTTTTTAAACAAACTGTTAGCTGTCTATTGATATTATTCATGTATGGTGGTGAGAAATATCTCAGAACTTGCAGCCTGTCCGAACATTAATGCAAAGTTACAACTGAGGCTCACATTATGAAATCACCCACATGTAGACGTTCATTCAGCCTTTCTAATTTGAAGACAATTTTGTTTTATGGCTGAACATCTTGGCTTCAACCTTTCCAAAACCAATTAAATTCAGTTATTTGTATTTTTTCGAGAAAATGGAAAAAGAAAAATGAAAAACCTAAAACAAAAAAATACCCATGTTTTAGAAATAAAATACCTTTGCAAATGTAAATATGCAAGATAGTCTGCAGTTAAAAACAAGTGTTTGATCTTTGTGAGCTGCCAGCCTCAACAAGAGAGTGGCCAGCTGAAAAAGTATAGCAGCTCCTTTAAAAACAAAACAAAACAAAAAAAAGAAATCCAACAAATCCAACCAAAACATCAGGACAGAAAATACAAACATCCATCTATGGTTTATGGTTTTAATACATGAAAGTTCATAAATCCACCCTACAAACCTCAGCTGTGAACTCTATTTGATTAAGGTAGGATTAAATTTATTGAGAGTATTCTTCAGTAGTGACAAAACCTGAGGAGGTGCAACATTTGTTGAGCTACCAAATTAATAAATCTGCATTACATCTGTACTGAATAAACATCCTCTAAACAGGATAACCAGGCGTCTCGATCAAACTGGCACTTATTCCTCCTTTCAGATTTTTTTAGAACACTTGTGTTAAACATGCCGATTTTGCAGTTTCTCTGAACTGATGAGGAAGCTACGTTGACACCTATAGGTGAAAGAACCACGAGAGAACGTGTAGTCGGTTATGGGGAACAATAGTTTTAATCTTTTAGCCGTTCCAAGGACTTTAGACAAAATGCATATATAACAATCTTCCATTTACAGTAATTCCATAAAGCAAGATTTAGGTAAACATATGGCCCGCATACCAAAAAACAAAACAAAAAAAAACAAAACAATTTCACTTTCCACCTCTTGCTCACTGAATAAATTACTCAATCTGATATAAATACATTCAATTTATAAGGAATTAAACGTTGATTTCAATGCATCAGAAAGTTGCACCCCTACAAATAGTGTGTCTGCGAGTCAGATTATTGCTTAACATTTTCCAAAGCATAGTCAAAACTTCCAGAAATTTTTGGTCCGCATTTATTTCAGCATCTAAATGTGTAAAGACTTCAAGGATATGTGGCCTTTAAGTGTACATTATTTTAAGTTAAGTTCTTTTTTTCAAAACTAATCCCAAAGCACCAATGCTTTATTGCACATATGCAGTAAAGTATTGGTGGCCTTAATTATTGCCGCTTTCATTCAGTGATGACACCACCATGATTCCACTATATGCAAGCATATATTGCAAAGTTAAGCGAAAGCTAATGAAAAACTTTCAGCAGTGTGACTCAAAGCAAAGTTCAGGGGGAATCTTCTAAAAGTACAAACGTGTACTTTTCCATTTCAGCTCAGTGCAGAAATAGTCAGTGAAAATAGTCAAGAAAAGCGAAATTTTAAGTATCTGTAAATTGAAACTAAAATGTAGAGAAGCCAGCGGCTGCAGCTTAAGCTGGGAATGAACTGAAAGAGACAGCATGCTTTGAAAAATGACTGGCAATAAATTCAAAGGAACGCATCAAAATCACTGCAACAGTTTGCTTTAAAAAAAAAAAAAAAAAAAAGCATATTCATTCAACGGCCATCGTTATCACAGCACGGTTAGAACAGTGTTCACCGGCCTCTGCAGGCACATGATTGTGAGGGAAACAGACTAAACTCTAATTTCATTACATTAACTAAACACAGAAGCACAGCATCAGATCCTGAGTGTCACAAAAGCTCGTCTGGAACAATGAGAATCGCATCTGAACATTTCACGTTTTCAGACTATATTGGTAATCTTTGGTAAAATCAGAGCAGAACTCGCACTTTAACCGGTACTCAGTAACAGAAAGGCACTTGTGAGTACTCTTAATCATGACATATTCTTCATGTTTGCCATCTCAGATCGTTTTTCCTGCGTTCCTCGCATTGATAAAAGCCATACCGTGAGTTCTGAAGTGTGTATTCAGATCTGTGACCTTGTCAAAGTGTTTACCACACACCTTACAGGCCAGTGCTCCCTCCTCCTCTTTCCCCTCTCCTGTGGAGGGCTGAGTGGAGGGTGATGCTGGTGCAGAGCCATTCAGAGAACTCTTTTCCTCGTGGTGCCTACTATTTCCAACGGAGGGTGACAGGTGCACACTGGGTGCTTGTTGGTTGTCATTGACCACATCTCTCACTTTGTGGGTGATGAAGCGATGGCGTGACAGTGAGAAGGTGGATGCGAAGCAGGCGCCACACTGGAGACACTGCAGGCCACCATCGTCCATGCCTCCGCGCCTGTGCTGGCTGATGTGCTCCAGGAAAGCCACCTTCTCCTCTGAGGTGAAGCCACAGACGGCACACCGAAACCCAGACTCGGGAAGAGAGGACGGAGCGAGAGCTGAGGAGGAAGAGGACCGTAGCTTCTTCCCCGGACTAACTCTGTCTGTGGACTCTTCATTCTGCTCCACCTTCACTGCTCCTCTCCGTCTCTTGCGAGCCCCCAAACTGCTGTCCTGTTCCGATGAACTGTCAGCTTCATCTTCACCACTCTGAGATATCGAGATACAAACTTTAGTAAAAAATACTTACTGTTTGACTTCTTGTGTGATCGGATTACTGCTGGCTTACCATTGTGGTTTTATGGCTTGCAGTTTCTGTGCTGTGCCTCAGCTGAAGGTGCCTCTCCAACATCGTTCTGCTGCTGAAGGTTTTCTTACCTTCAGTGCAAAACCTGCACGCACACACACACACACACACACACACACACACACACACACACCAAATTACAGTCATAACTGTCCTCTGTTATGACTTCATAACCAGGGTCTGACAAAAGTATATGAGGTGCCCAAAAACATAATTGTGGAACAATTAAACCTTCTGCTCAACAATTTTTGTGTCACCACATGAAATCAGTGAAGTCTCACATTGCTTCATACACATACAACCTTTAGATTCAACATATGGAAAAAGTACAATGGCAACATTATTTAAAATGAGTCTGTTCATGCTTATCCAATTCCTGGTGAACTCTGCTGTTCACCTGCTTCCTTCCCCATTGCAGCCTACTTCAACAAGTCAGCCTTATTCACATCAAGCAGGATGCAGTTGGGAATTTGGGAGTCTGCGGGGAAGCACACTTGCCTTTGCAAATACGTACACTAATGGACACAACTGCGGTACCATAAATTAAACATTAAGCAGTGTAGAGTTTACAGTTAGGATGAACCTACAGTGGACATTATATAAGTATATAAATCCCACATTAGGGAGTAATGGCTATGGTGAATCTTTATAAAGCCTACAACATAACCAACACTGTTACCAGCTAGTGGGGGTGTGTTTGATGTGCACCACAATAGAAACCAATAAAATGCTAGTTAATCCTTCAAAAAAGAAAGAAAGAAAGAAAACGTTGTGGGGTAAAAGTTGTTGGTTGTTCCCAGTCTAACATGCAGAGCAAGTACAAACAAAATAGGAAGGCTATGGCAAACAAATTTTCTGATATCTGTGAGTCCTTATTTTGAGGTTGTGATTATTATTCCTTATACTGAGGTGATGATTGTTATTCTTTCACTAATAAATTCAAAAGCTGTGGTCAAAAAATTACCAGAAATGCATAGGATTCACTGGTACTGAACAGCAGGGTTTTCCATTCCTATAATGTACATTTAACAGAAAAGAAAAAATTCCCTGGAAGTAGAGGTTGGGTGGGGAAGTTACTCACTGGCAGCGAAAGCTGCGGTTCATGGCTTTGTGCTTATCTCTGATGTGACGCCTCAGACTGGAGGTGGTTGTGAAGGAGCTCTCACATTTGTTGCAGGGAAACTTCTTCAAAATCTACACAAAAAGATTAAAGGATTTGATTAAATCAGACATTTTAAACCAGTGATTCACAGCCAGGGGTGCAGAAACAGAGAGAATGCAGAAATGTTTTAAATAAATGAGTAATGGCCATGCACAGAGGCGTGCTGATCGATTCACATATCGATCGTATTAATGTCAACGCTGGTTCAGTATGTATCCCACTGAACTGTGTTAATTATGATTTTTTCTTCCTTTCCAAAAAAATGAACTGTGAAAAACCTCTGGATCAGCTTCTATTGTTTAAATGTGCTATAGATAAAATAGATGTGACAGTCAACACAGAAAGGTTCAAGGTCTCCAAAAACCCAGTTTGAAAATACATGAAAAGCTGAAAGGTTTTATTATGTCAATCAAGTACATATGTAAAACCAAAAACTGTCAAAATAATGTGCTCATGTATGAATCAGTACTTTGTATCCAGGAGTGTGGATAAACAAATTAGGGGTACAGACACACTCTCATGTTCACACTTATGGCCAGTTTAGATTAACCTAACATACATATCTTTGGACTGCTGGAGGAAAGCATAGCACCCACACCCTCAGTCCCCCAGCAGCTTTCAAGCCACAACCTTCCTGCTGTGAGGCAACAGCGGTAACCACTGCATCACAAAGCTAACAACAACTTATAAATGCTTAACTGATGTTGAATCTGTAACCATTTCAGATGTGATTATAAATGAACTCATCTGCACATTTATCAGCACACGGTGCTGTGATTTTTGAGGCTTCCAAACCTTGCCGTGCAGTTCACCCATATGGGTAATATAGTCCTCCCGGTCCGTGTAGCGCGTGTTACAAGATGAACACCTCCACCCTGAAGGGGTCTTCATCTTTTCTGGCTTCACCTTCTCTTCTTTGTCTTTACGCATCCATTCATCTCCATCAGAGCTCTCTAATTTCAGAGAAGCACCACCTGGAAGCAAAGGTAGCTCTCCTTTTGATTTGGGAGTCTTGTGGGTCTGATGGAAACAAGAATAAAGTTTAATTTTAAAAAGTTTTTTTTTTTTAAAAATGAGTAAGTAGAGGACGAGATTTTAGCACTACCTCAACTATAACAGTTATACCTTGAAATGGTCCAGCAGTGAGTTCCTCTGAGAAAACAGCTTGGTGCACGCGGGGCATTTAAACACGTGGACCTTTTGATTGGTTAAATGAGTGTCAAAGTGGGCATGCAACAGGGGTTTGTGGGTAAACACTGTGTCACACATGACACACTTATAGATCAGCCTGTGAAGGAAGAAATTCGGGGTAAAGAAACAGAAAGTGATGCAATAAATCCGAGCGTGAACACTCAGACTCTGTGTGCTGCACATACATTGGCTGTCCTTCAGGGAGCCCCGGATGCTGGGCAGTGATGTGGTTCTGAATGCTGGGAGCAGATTTGAAAGCCATGGGGCAGCTAGGACACTTATGGAACATGTCGCAGTGAGCCTGCTGGATGTGAGACTTCACCGAGTTCAGACCTCCAAACACCACCAGGCAGCTAGAACATCTGGAGAAGAGAAAAGTTAAAAATAAATAAATAAAAAAATCAGCAGAGCGGAATCATGACTGGTGTAGCAGTGGTTTAATAAACCAATCACATGGGGAGACGTCACACCTGTAGCCAATACGGCGGGAAAAGTGCAAGCAGGTCTCGTCCACATGTGTTCTGAACTGTGCCTGCTTGGCTGTGCCCCCACACTCTGGACACACATGTGGAGAGGAGCCTTGATGGATGCGCTGATGAGCTGCTGCACTGCAGCTGTTGGGTAGCAGCATGGGAGGCGAGCACTCGGAGCACGACTGGAAACAGGAGAAGCCAAAAAGGAAAGAATTAAGTTTGAGTCCATTTAGCAAGTCAAAGAAATTTAAATTCAATTACTTGACCCTCTTCCATACACGATGGAGACTTACAGTGCTCTGTGCTGGCTTGATTTCCTGGAAATGTTCGGCCACCTCTTCTTTGCTGCAGAACTGAGCCTGACACTCAGGACATTTGTTACTTGTGTACTGCACTGCTTCTGCTTTCTTAGCTACTGCTTGATGTGCCTGGGGTGCTGCCTTTGGGTTGGTCTGGCCTAAAAGCATGGTGTTGAAAGGATGGAAGAGGCAGTTAAAGCACATCCAAAAATCAAAACAGTGGAGTGGAGACAAAAACATTCCCATACCAGCTGCTGTTGGTTCCTGCTGGCTGATCATCTGATCCACAGGCACTGGTTTCATGACCAAGTGTGAACACTGCATGATCAGGCCTCTGTCCTTGTGCTCTCTGGCGTGTAACAGCAAGCTACACTTGTTGAAGAAGGCCAGCCGTTTGGCGCAGTGATTGCAGGTCACCTCGATTCTGAGCGAGCGCCGGTCATAGTGCTGTGCTAAACTCTGCTCCAGGGCAAAGGCGTCACCGCACTCCAGACACCGGTAACCCTGCAGGGGATCAAACATCCTCTTTCTCAAACTGACATAGAGCTATAATATTAAACAATGCTACAGCTTTGTTCTAATGAAAAAATACTCACTTTGCATTACATGTCAGAGTATGAAAAATAATCCATTGCGAGATATACTGCCCACATTTTCTGTCCTTTTTTTTTTTTTTAATATAAACACGCTACTAATGTCAGGATTCCTGCTTTAATCAAGCTTATCTTCATTTTCAGCCTTGTTAACCTGATAACGTGCCTCTTTACATAACATGACTAAAAGAACTACTTTCAACCCTTGATTAGCAGTCTGTGATTGAACGGTGAAACAATCATGATTTTCTTAATTTAATCTAATTGCTTAGCGCTATAGACTGTATATAAATGATGGATATAGTCACTGTGATGTCACCCGTTGCTTTGTGAAGTCTTGTTTTCAAGCCTGAACTTTAGCATTTAGCTGCCTTGTTTTTGTATTGAAACCAGACGTCACAAGCATCAAGCTTTACACATCTAGGGAACATTCAAGACCAGCTTTTTGAATTCTGACAAAACTGTAAAGAAGTGAAACTGGTATTCTCTCACCATGTTATACACCAGGTGGTGTTGTGTAAGTGAGTGACAAAAATTAACCATGTTGCTTATTAGTAACTAAAGTTGGTAACTTCTTCAGGGTAAAACCACTGAATAAGAGTTTGCTACACTTCTGATTAACTGCTGGCAGAGCACTCTAGGTCAATGTCCCTGCTGGATTTTTAGTCTTCCCTCACGGACAAGAACTTTCCACATCCTCAGAAGATCTACTCTCATATGTGAACAGTCAGTGACGACATTTAACTCCAGATCCTCTATCAATGACAATCACCTCTCTGTTGTTGTTTGCATTTCCACCTCAGACATTTAATCTGACTTTAATGCACTTCAATGAGAAAAATCTAATCTGTTTTGGGCTTGAATAAGAAAAAGAAGCTGAAAAACTGCAGATGTAGTGATTCAACTACAAGGAAACAGCATTACTACTTTGTGAATAAAATGTTCATGTTTTTGCAAAATTTCAAAAACCTTCAGTTGTTTCTGGGAATGTCGAATTTCCACTTTTTTGACACTTTCATTGCTTAATTGTAACATCTACTCTTACCAGTAGCTGTTTAGCGCCCGGTGGCGCCAGTGTCCGGCAGCCTCGCCTCTGTCAGTGCGCCCCAGGGTGGCTGTGGCTACAATGTAGCTTGCCATGACTCTTGTGTGAATGTGTGTGTGAATGGGTGAATGACTGAATGTGTAAAGCGCTTTGGGGTCCTTACGGACTAGTAAAGCGCTATACAAATACAGATCATTTGCCATTCTGTAGAACCAGATGCTTTTCTGCAAGTTCCCCGATTTGAGAGAATTCATGTTGACTGAACTTTCATA